TCACCCGAAATTCGACAACCTACAGGTTATGATAGCCCAAGATGTTACCACTGGAGAAGATCGGGCAGAATGCACAGAGCAGGCTGTGCCCAATGGAGTTCCAGGACCTATGAGATCTGCAGCTACTTCTATGATGGAGAATCCGAATGTACATGATCCTGCACCTGCAAGAACCGCAGTGGAGTTTCTTAGTGGAACCAGCACAGCGAGAGCTGAACCGGACGTGGCCGAACCCGCATATGAAGCGGCACCGGACTTGGAAGCGCGTGCGACGTACGAACGCCAGCAGCAGCAGGTTACTACGCCGGCACCATTTACTTCGGTGACGCCTCCAACTGGTTCTACGGTTAGAGTACAGGAGTTTTTTACGGCTGAGAGCAGACAAGAGCGAGCAGAACAAGGAGGTTTTCGTTGGATGTCAAGAATCACGGAGTTTCTGCGTACTACAGCAACACGGAGCGTGAGCAATGTGGATAGGATGTTGGATAATCTTGGAATTCCGCACCCTCAGCAAGCTGTACCGGCAGGGCATCTACAGCCCCAATTTGGGGGAATGAACATTTCTCCGCCTCAGGATCTCCAACCTGGAGCGGTGGTGCCAGCAGTACCCACTTCGTGGTCAACGACGGGTACGCAGCCTCTTTTTACTGAGGAGCAGGTGTCTCAGATGAGACACTCACAGAGGGAGCATCCGCAGCTTTACGGTCCTTTATCTGAGGGAGGAAGCGATAGATCTTCAAGGCTACAGGCTGAAGTACAGAGGCAAATGGAAGACTACATGAAGAAGCATCAAGGGGAAGTCGCCAGGCTGCAAAAGGAAGTACATGAGCTTCGTCAGGAACGGCAGCAGCTGCTGCAGTATGGTCATCAAGGCCAACCTCAAGCTTCCCATGTACCTCAAGGGAATACCCAGCAGCTACCTCAAAGTGATCCTCCAGGTCTACTTCAAGCTTCCCATGTACCTCAAGGGAATACCCAGCAGCTACCTCAAAGTGATCCTCAAAGAATACCTCAAGCTTCCAATGTACCTCAAGGGAATGTTCAGCAGCTACCTCAAAGTGGTCCTCAAAGAATACCTCAAGCTTCCAATGTACCTCAAGGGAATGTTCAGCAGCTACCTCAAGGTGGTCCTCAAGGCATACCTCAAGCTTCCAATGTACCTCAAGGGAATACCCAGCAGCTACCTCAAAGTGGTCCTCAAGGCCTACCTCAAGCTTCTAATGTACCTCGAGGGAATGTTCAGCAGCTACCTCAAAGTGGTCCCGTTTTTAATGGTGTTGGTCAAGCGACGAGTGGGTCCTTCAGCAATGGTGTTGGTCAAGCGACGAGTGGGTCCCATGGTGATGTTCATAAGTCAAGCGCTACTACTCCGCAGCAGTGGTTGGGAGGACAGCAAGGTTCAGTACCTCCGGATCCGATGGCCCTTTTGGCAGGCGGCATGGCGCAGCTCCAGGCGGTGATGTTGAAACAGATGACGGCGGCCGAAAAGGACAAGGAGGGTGAGAAAAGCCCAGAGGCCGTTAAGCCTGGTACAACAACGTTACCTACCCTGCCAGTGATGAAGGTAGAGTCGGCTTCAGTGGATATCATGGACTGGCTGGAGAAACTCACGTCTCCAATGTCGGATTTGTCCGACGGATCTGGACTCTGGTGGGAAAAGGTCAAGGCCTCCGCGACGAGCTCATATGTTGAATGGGCAAAGTCCAGCCCGCTAGAGAGGCTGAAAGTCTCTCCACCAAGGAACGAAGAGCTAGAGACCGGAAAGTGGAGCCGTGTCAATTCCCGAGCCTCAAGCATGCTGATGTTGGCGTTGGCAGAAGGAGTCCAGAATGAGATGGTTGCGAGGCGTTTAACGGGAAGTTCAACCTCCATCCTCTTCAGACTTATGACGTTATATCAGCCGGGCGGAGAAGAAGAAAAAGTTCGTATATTGCACAATCTCCAGCAGCCACCTCAGGAAGGAGAACCTGCTAAGGTCCTTGATGCGTTGCGAAGCTGGGAAAGATGGCTCCGCAGATGCCGAGAACTGGAAGTGACAGCACCAGATCCAGCACTGTTGGCGCGGGGACTCAATGCTATGGTCAAGAAGGTCATGGAAAAGAACCCAGAAGCGAGCTTCCGAACGAGCTTAGTGAAGTCCACCCTCATGGTTGACACCAGACCAACGATGGAATCAGTCGACAGCTACTACCGGCACTTACTTGCTGAGTGCGAAACTTTAGCCGTTGGACTTTCCTCATCTACTACCTCCTCAACAGCAGCTAACCCAAGGCCCGAACCGAGGATAAAGCCGATGAAGCCTGATGGAACGCCAGGTACTCCTCCACCGCCTCCGCTACCAACGACGCGGTCATCTTCGCAGAACACCTCAGGCGCGGAGGAGATTGACAAGGAGAAGAGGGCTACAACACTTTGCAGGTACTTTGGTAAAACGTTCAAGGGCTGTGCTCGAGGATCCAGGTGCCCTTTCAAACATACCTGGGAAGGCAACGAGAAGGAGAAGGCCCAGCGCTGTTGGACGTGTGGTGGTAAGCATATGACTAAGCAGTGTCCGAACCAAAAGCCGGGACAGCCTTCGACCCCAAGTTCTACTTCGACACCGACTCCTAATTCAAAGGCCCCCCCGACTACTCCAAGGCCTAACACAGCAGCGTCGTCCTCTACTACGACCACGAAGTCAGTGCGAATCGACGACAACCCAGAGGTGGAAACGGTTCCAGCGAGACCGGAGCCTGCCGCTTCACAGGGAGGGGACCAACCCCCGGATATCAAGGAGATGCTAGCTGATGTGGGAAAAATGCTGAAGCAAATGACGGCTGCCAACATCAAGAAGGCAACGATAGTGGAGGCTGGCTTTGAGCAGAAGTTGGAGGAAGTACAGGCGGCAATGAGGACGTCGACTACCGAACGAGGGGAAGAGGGGCAAGATGGACTGCTGGACAGTGGCGCAAGTCATGCAATGAGGTTGGCTCAGGGGAATGAGTATGAGAACGGAAGCGCTGTGAAGGTCACCTTGGCGGGTGAGGACGTTCGCGAGATGAAACAGAACATACATGGAACGGTTCTCATCGAGAATGACGGCCGGAACGCAGTGCAGCCAATTGTTCCACTCGGAGCAGTGATTGAGGAGTTGGATTGTAGTTTGCAGTGGCAGAAGGGCTCTTTCCAGCTAAGGCACCCTCTACGAGGACTTCTGAAGGTGAAGATGGTCAATAATTGCCCTGAAATCAAGGCCAAGGACGCTCTTTCTCTGATCAGGGAGCTCGAGTCGAAACATTTGGCAACCTTGAATCATCAAGTCGAGTCTCTGAAGGCGCGCTTGGAAGTTCTCAAGAAGGAAGAGACCCGTACCTGGGACGACATCCTCCGCGAGTATGTTAAGAAAGGAACTCAGTCCCTTCTCTTGCGGGCGGTGTTGGTTTGCCCCTTCACGAAGGACCTCCCGGAAGATGTGCAGGCGATGGTTGTTGAGGGTTTCGATGTGGACCAAGGGATGTCCTACCTGAAGCAGCTCCCACTGACAAGGAGAAGACGTAAGTTGTTGATGACTTCAAACCAATGGGTCGTGGTGCTCAACCAGGCCGCAGCGGAGAACCATGATGATCCCCTCAGCGTTGTCCAAAAGGATGGCAAGGTCATCTTGGAGGTTGATTGTGGCACTTCCCGACTGTGGGACATCCACAGAAAAGGAATAGTGTATCAGCTTCTTCTATGGGCCGCAGCGCGAGGCAAGGTCACGGACATCCTTGGATCCCCACCGCACTCTACATGGCCAACCTCCATGACTCCAGACCGGGGCCCTCAATCATATCCAACAAGAACTACGGCGTTTCCTTATGGACATGATGCACTACCACCACTTAAGCAGCAGCGGTTGGACTGTGAAACAGCAGCGGCGGTGAAGCAGATGTTGTTGTGGATGGTGGCTACCCTTTCTGGAAAGGGCAATGTGGGTTTCCTTTTGGAGCAGCCCTCTGACAAGGAACGACTACGTCAAGATGATCCATCCATGGCCTCCCTGTGGAAAACTGAGCTGTGGAAATCGTTTAAGTCGGTGAGCGGCATGAGTTTGTCCTCGTTTTACATGGGCGCTATGGGCCACAAAGGAAAAAGACCGACTACAGTAGCAACCAACTACGCTCGCCTTTGTCAACTTGATGGGCTGTATGACTTCGCGGACAACTGTGTGCCACGGTCTTTGGTCGATGACAAGGAAATGAATACGTGGTCTCGTGGCTTCAAGGAGATTGTGGCGAAGGCAGTAAGTGAGCTTCATCAATGTTCAATGTCCGAGGAGGAGGCCCTGGACGAGCTGGGCGTGAAGGTTTCCAAGTTGACCAAGGAGCAGAAAGAAGCCTGGAAAAGGCATTTGCAACAGGATCATCAACCTTATAGAGCAGACTGCTCTATATGTATAAACGCGAGGGCAACCGGATATCAACATCGACGTCGACTACATCCTTCAATGTTCACGGTCGCCATAGACCTCGCTGGTCCCTTTAAGCAAAAGGGGCGAGACATGGAGCACGAGGACTTTCGCTACCTCATGGTTGCAGCCTATAGGTGCCCCAAGGCTTACATGAGCTCCAAGGGCATCACCGACTCCGATGCAGAGATGTATGTTCCAGATGAAGAGGAAATCTCGGATGAAGATCCCCTCGCTTTGGATGACGAAGTGGCTACGAAGGAAGATGAGCATCCGATATCCGAAGATGAGGAAGAGCGACCTCTTCAAGGCCCCGAGACCTTGGACGATGTGGCGGAAAGGTTGACTCAGCCAGAGGAAGCCGCTACAGTCTACATTACTAGGCCCTTGAGGAGAAGGACGGCGGCACATGTTTTGCAGGCCACAAAAGAAATAATGATCCAGTTGAAACAAACCGGACTACATGTGTCTGGAATTCACAGTGACCGAGCAAGGGAGTTCAAGGCCAAGCCGTTCAAGGAATGGACGATTGACGCGGGCCTTAGACACACCAAAACCGCCGGAGGGGACCCTACGGGTAACTCCACGGCAGAGCTTGGAATCAAATGGGCAAAGTCTCGAATGCGGGCTCTCCTGAAGTCAGCTGGTGCTCCTCCTCGTGATTGGCCAATGGCAGCGGCGCACGCATCAGCAGCTTTATGGGGAAAACTGTTCCCGGATAGCCCCTACTTTCATCCTCCTGCAACGACGTTTGGAAATGAAGTCTGGTTCCGTGCAAAGAACTACATGGGTACCAAGGAGAGAAAACACGAGGCGGCTGGGACTCGATGGAAAAAGGGTTACTACAAGGGCCCCAGTATGGATGTTCATCGAGGACATTTAATTTCTCGAGAAGATGGTGGACTCACGATTGCCAAAAGCGTCAAGTTCGATGTCAAGGATGTATATGGCGACAAAGAACTACGTGATCTACTACCACCAGCTGTGGCGGAGAATGTTGAGGATGATGGTGATAAAGAAGAGTGGGCTCCTTCCAAGGCGCAACTTAAGGAGGAAATTGAGTTTCAATCGAGGATGCTCCGGGAAAAGGGGAGTTACACCATCGAAGATGTCCTCGAAATCTACTACAAGCTTGAGAAACTGGGTGATACCGACCGCCGAGTAAAGAAGAAGATGGATGTGAAGTCGTGGTTCACGGGAGCCTTTGTTCATGGTGGGAAGGCTGGGCCCAGAAGCAACGTTGAGAACTTCCCTCAAACAAGTAAGTTGCTCGTGGAGTTCGGTAAGAAGTTTGCAAAGGGGAAAACGTTTTCGGCTGTTGGCATGGCAAGGAACGCCCAACTTGGACTTCATCGCGACCTACACAACGACCCAGACTCCTTCAATACCGTGGTGCCGCTCACTGATTTTGTGGAAGGTAACCTATGGGTTCAAGACGATGAGGTTGAGGAGGAGATGTGTGTGATGAAGACCAACCCCAGTGGAGATAGAATCCGCGGAAAAATCTTGGAGATCAAGAAGGGTGAAGCTACATTTTTCCAGCCTCGACAATGGCATGAAGTACAGCCTTGGGTTGGAGATAGGATCGTCCTCCTCATGTTCACTCCGCGTACCTCAAAGTTGACGCCAGAGGACGTTGAGACACTCAGCGAAGCAGGCTTCGTTTTTCCCCAAGTTACTGGTAAAGAAGGAGAACGGCAGCACCTTCCAGAAATTCAGGAGGAGGAACGGCCATTGGTCAATGTGAAGATGTTGGCAATGCAGGGCCACCCCGAACTCCCGGTGACCTTTGATGAGATCTATGACGAGGACCTCCTCCCAGGAGGAGAATGTCAACCTGGGACAACTGGTGCCCCAACACATGCGGAAGCCATCCGCAACTTTGCGGCGGCGAAGTTGATGAAGATCGTCAAGAAGGCGGAAGTGCAGTGCACCCCGGACATTGAAAAGGTGTTGGCAGAGCTGGCTCAAGAAAACCAGCCCTTACAGGTGACGCATACCGTAAGCCTTCAAGAGGTGAAAAGGAACTTGGGTGCATGGAAGGAATCGGCAATGAAGGAGTTCAAAAACCTCGTCGACTCCAAGAATGCCTTGAAGATCACAAAACGTCATCTACTACCTCCAGGGTGCCGCATTGTACCGTGTAAGGGAGTGTACACCGTGAAGCCTGACAAAGGTCCACTTGGATATCGTCGAAAAACACGTTTCGTTGCTTGCGGGAATTATGTCCCGGAGAATGAGACGACCTTCGACGTCTACGCCGCAGGCCTTGACGCCACTTCGCTACGCACCGTCCTTGCTTCAAGCTCCACGAACCCTAAATGGGGTTGGGGGGTGACAGACATAAGACAAGCTTTCGTCCTAGCACGGTGGCTTGGTGGTCCAGTTGCTCTACAACCCCCAGCGATAGCATTTGATTTGGGGCTGGCGGAGGAAGGAGACATGTGGGAAGTACAGCAGGCCATATATGGCCTTAGAGAGTCACCGGCAATGTGGAGTCAGTATAGAGATGCTCAGCTTACAGTGGCGAGGTGGAATGTGGATGTTGATGGTGTACCAGTGACTATGAAGCTTGAACAGATGATCTCTGACAATCAGGTTTGGAGAATTGTTAGAGAAGATGGACAGGGAGGTCCACAAGGTTATCTACTGGTATACATCGATGACCTTCTCATCAACGCCGAGGAAAATACAATGCGAAGTTTCTTCAGCTGGCTTTCAGCGAAGTGGGAGGTGGACGAATTGGACGTTCTCGACTACAACCACCCGATCAAGTTTCTGGGGACGGAACTACATAAAGTACCAGGTGGAGTTGAAATGGCACAAGAAGGCTTCATCAAGGAGCTCTTGCGAGCTCATGGACACAAAGGTACAAGGTCAAAGATTCAAGGCCCGAAGGAAACAATGATTCTTTCAGATGAGGAGGAGCGTGCCCTTATCGACGCGGAGCCGGTGGACATCTCTGGAAAGGAGGATATTGTCAAGGAGGCTCAACGTCGGGTCGGAGAGCTACTATGGTTGATGGGACGATCAAGGCCGGACATCCAGCATGCGGTGTCAATTATGTCTTCAAGGATTACAAGATGTCCAGAGTTGGTAAATAAGGTGGGAGTGAGGATCCTTGATTACTTGTGTGAAACCATCCACTACCGGTTGCGCTTTGTCCCGAACGACCAAAAGATCAACCACCTCGACATCTACACGGACAGCTCTTTTGCTCCAAGTGGAGGAAGGTCCCACGGTTCAAGTGCAGTATTTTTCAACGACTGCGCCATTACATGGCGTTCGGCACGCCAGCAGCTAGTGACGCTTTCGACAGCAGAATCAGAACTACTGGAAGCTGTGGAGGGTATGGTGCAAGGAAGGGCAACGAAGGGACTTCTGGACGAGCTGACCAATGACAAAGTGATCATGAACCTCCTGGTGGACAATGCCGCGGCAGTGACTTTGCTGGGCTCTGCTACAGGATCATGGCGAACTCGTCATTTAAGACTTCGTTCAAATTGGCTGAGAGAGCTTATCCAAGCCAAGGCAGTGAACTTACGCCATCAGCCGGGAGATGGGCAACGAGCCGATTTAGGCACTAAGCCGTTCTCAAGAGAACGGCTCCAGCAGTTGGTAAGGTTGTGGGGACTCGTCGACACAAGACCTCCGTCCACGTCAGCTACGGCAACAACAAAGAAGGTGTCTATGAATCCTTCATGGTTATCAACGCTTTTGATGATGTGCCAGGTTTGTGGATCAGCGGGCCAGAAGGAGGACTTGCAGACGGAACTTCCATGGGACCTATACGTGGCAATCCTCGTCCTCTCGATTGCAGTCATTGCGGTGTGGGAGGGTGGGAAAAGCTGTTTGAGACCCCGAGGTACGAATGTTAAGGCCTTACGAGTTCAGGCAAATGCTTCGCAAAGGTCAAGGAAGATGACGCGCAACGAGCTCAAGGAGCTCCAGCGAATGTTAGCAATCGACCCTAACGACCTGACGTCTACCCAGAAGATTCGACTTGTGGAGCTTCAGGAGAAATTCAATGACACTATGCCCGAGGGTAGTTCTCCTATGCCAAGGTTTCCTGATGAAATGTTTCAGGCAAGCTCATCCACCGCCTCTGCGTCCTCTACAACACCACCCTCAAGCTACAATAAGCAGCCAAAGTTGAAGGAGACAAAAGATGCAGAGACACAGACCAGTGCCCCAGCTTTCACGAGAGTGGAACCTTCGCCACCAACAGCGATACGAACCTATGCGGGCCCATTTTACCAGACGCCAGGAGGAGATAGATTTCATGTGTTTCCTCACTGCTGGGGACTACGGAATGCGTCTCGAACGAATACCGTTTCAGTATGCAGATGCTGCGCTGAGAATGCCGGGAATCGAATATACTGATCGGCCGTAGAGGAACATCAAAGAATCAGTCAATATGATTCGGAATGCCGTTTCAAAGATTGATCGATGCTTCTACCCTCGCGGTTGAACCAAGGAGGAGTACAGAAAACATGCATTCCTCCTCTGATGTATAGCTTGGAATTGCGAGCTCTTGAATGTATACCTTTCATGCTGTCAAGTCTTGCTCAACAAGCGTGGCGGCAGTATCACGATGCACAGGACATTTCAATGTCAGATCGAAGATGTGCCGTTAGCGTGAGTGAAAACAATCTTTCGCCATGGTGTCGGCGCTTTTCTGACTTCCAGGAAGCATAAGACCTTCACCCGAAATTCGACAACCTACAGGGCCATATTTTGGGGTGGGAGGCGGTTCTTTGAGTGTGACGGGTTGCAGTTGTTCGGCCATACCCGGGGGGGGGGGGGGGGGGTCCCTTCGGTCTTCCCTCAGGTAGGCTTTATCCGTTGAAGTTCCAGATCGGATGGGGTTGCCTAACGCCTTGCAGTATTAACTAGATGTTTGAGATGACAGAGACTGAAATCCACAGCAGTTCTCCGGAACTGACAACGACCTGAAACTTAAACGCTATCTGGGACTTTGAGCGGGTTATGAAGGTACCTGTGCACAATCTGTTTGGTCCCTTCCCATAGGCCCTAAAGTAGTTCCTTTTTGAGGTTCATATATAGAATCCTATCAGGTAACCCCAAAAAGGAACTGCTATGGGGCCTATGGGTATTCCTGTTCCTTAGTGTTGGACTGCGTGCGGCCTGTTCCTCTCCTAATGTACTATAATATTCGAGAGGCACACAAAACCCGACGTACCCGGGTGGGGTGAATAGGGTTTGGTTGAGAGAGAAGCTTACGATCCAGCTGCATCTTGTGTTCATGCAGAGTCCCCAGCCTACTCAAAGTCCGATTCTCCGTTTTGGGTGTCCGGCTGCATTTTGCGCAGGAAGGGAGCCTTCCTACGCAAAGTGCAGTCCGATTCTCCGTTTTGGGTGTTTTTGGGCGCGGACGATTCGGCTGCATTTAGTGCACGAAGGGAGCCCTTCCGACCAAAAGTGCAGTCCCATTCTCTGTTTTGGGTGTTTCGGGAAAAGCCGCATCTGGATCATCTTTGACAGCTGATTGACCACGAGATGGACCTGCCCGCTGAATTGGATGGGCCGGGCGTTTAAGCCAGCAGAGTCTGAAAAGCCGCATCTGGATCATCTTTGACAGCTGGATGACCACGAGATGGACCTGCCCGCTGAATTGGATGGGCCGGGCGTTTAAGCCAGCAGAGTCTGAATGCGACACATGTGGGTTCAATTCCCCCTGGTGCTTTTCTTCTCGTGAGCAGAGGACTAAGCAAGGGTTTGGTTGGTGAAACCGTACAGATACATTACATATACGGAATACTAAATATACGGAAGAGAACAGACATGTCATACTACTTCTGTGGGTCGACGGAGTCCGCCGTGCTCCATATACTTAAAAATTAGTCACCGTAATCCTACTGGCATTTCTGTTATTAGCACTCTATAACCTTCGGGCGAGTCTCGAACTAAATTTTTGGAGTGCGCCAGAGTTTCATTTCTGGGTTGATAATATTTCTCAACATACTGGTCCACTGTACTGCTACTACTAATAATACTACTCGTACTACTACCAGTACTACTACTGCTACGTACGTACTGCTACTACTGCTACTACTACTACTGCTAATACTACTACTACTACTACTACTACTACTACTACTACTAGTAATACTACTAGTACTACTACCAGTACTACTACTGCTACGTACGTACGTACGTACTACTACTACT